GTCATCTTTAAATAAATAAATAAATAAATAAAAAGTCACTGTGGCCCAGAGGACACAGTCATGGGCTTGAATCAGACACACCTGCCTTAAATTCCTGTCTCACCTCGTACCAGCTATGACACAACTAGCTGGAGTCTCAGTTTTCTGGAGGTTCATTATAGAAACGCTTGTGAGTATTAAAAAATGGTAACAGAGTAAACAATTCAGAAATAAGTCACTGGATTTTGTCACACCCAAGAATGAGGAAGAGAGTGGGCCCATTATTAAGGAGATGACTTGGGCTCAGGCATTAGGACTTTTGGTTCATCCAGCGTTTCACAGAGCCTCTGAACTGTCTGGCAACACATTTAGAAGGAACAGGGGAGGGGGAGGTTCTGGAAGCAAGTAAGCCTCCAATAAGCTTCATATACATAGGAAATTATGGAACTTGGGTATGGCAATGTCTCTACCCTTTAGAAGCCTACACTTTAGTTGGTGAGGAAAAACCTCCCCAAGGGAAATGATTTCAGAAACAGCACAAAGCAAAGTGTATCCGCTGTAACGGGCAAAATCACAAGGTGAATTTAAGGTAAGTGCCTAAGAGTTCCAGAACAAAGGAGTCTATAAGAGTTCTTGGAGAAGACCAACTTGGGGATGCTCAGTGGGGTGGGGGTGGAGGTGGGTTTTATTCTGGGTATCTAATAACATGGTAAAAGTGTAATGGTGAATGGCTTTCTGTGAGATGCAAGGGAGAAATATTTGCAAAGACCCAAGGACAGGATCTCATAAATTACATGTACAAGGGTGGTAATGGTGAAATAGGTAAGTTTTGGCTAGGGTAGGAATTATAAAATATGAAGTTGAGAAGTACCAAGCATTTGAATTCTATAAAAGTCTCACTTTATGTGTAAAATGTGAAATGAGGCCAGTCCTTAAAAGTGTAATAGAGGTTGTAGGGAGGAGGCAAAAAGAGCATAATTTCAACCTGTGTACATTACTTATATATTCTATTATACTGCTTTCACATGGTGGCACCACTCTGGTGAGCGCATAAAAGTACCCACTTTTCTTGCTCAGGATGAGACTTGAATGATTCCAATTTTGAATTGTGAGAAATGTTTATTCCCTCAGGTAAAAGGCCATCATGTGTGGCTGGAGAAGCGGCTGATGACAGTATAACTGCTGCACTCTGCTCTCCTCCCTTCAAAGCCTTCCTTCTATTTCATTCTCTTCCCTGCAAGGCCCTTCTTGCACACTAATCTATCCCCCTGATCCTCTTCTCTCCCACCCCCAAGTCCCATCAGTGCCCCATTCTCAGGCCCCTCTCTCCTCATCTACTCAGTGATTAGAGCTTATGGACAGGAAATGCACCAGCAGATAGGGACCAACTGCTGTCCTTCGAGGCTGTTACCATCACTGGGGACCAAAGAGGGTGCAATGCCCGTGGCTAAGAGAACCCACAAGAGGAGGATGGGGTGGACTGCATGTGGGCATTCTAGATGCTGTCTCAGGGTGAGATCTTTGAAAGGAGGAGAGGCTGGTCATCTTTCTCTGACTGCTCCACTTCCTGCAGCAACTTGTAGAGGGGTCCAGGAATGCGTGCATGGTAGGGAGCTTCTTTGGATCCCATCAGCTTCAAGTTGGGACTGTAACAACGATGCCAAAAGGAAGAGAAGCCATAGATTCCCAACAGGCATGAGGCATTAATGATCACATGCCAGCAGAAAAAGGTGGTGACAAACATGATGTCACTGATGTCATCATCCTGCCATGGGTAGCTGGAGATTGGTCTGTATAGAATAAAGCCTGCCTGCATCAGCCAGGAGCCCATCATCAGAAATAGAAAGGTTTCAATCAGCCTGAGGTGAAACATGTCTGGAGCCCACAGCTCTGCAGTCAACACTAGTATTAGCAGGAACACCACCAAGATGAGCAGAAAATGAACTTGCAGCTCCACCCCCACCAAGTCCTTAATATGTGACACCAGCAGCAGCAGGAGCTCATAGAAGGTCAGGACCAGGGCACCTTTTTCCAGGACCACACACCTCTGAGGCAGCACGTTCTCGCTCATGAAGTCTATACAGCCATTGAGGGTGAGGAGGATGAACATGGTGAGGTGCTGCCACTCTTTGGGGTACATAAACCTCGGTGGAAGCTCCCTGTTCATCAGCACCAACCCTCCTCTAATGCAGCTGAGCTCATAAGCTATCAAGAGGGAGCCAGTCACCATCTTTGACACACCTCCATAGGATATTTTCCACAACCAGGCCCATCTTCCCTTACTCCTGGGAGGGCACGAAGAATACAGAAGAGATTCATTGAATATCACAGCTTTGGAGACCACCGTTGCCTGATACAGTCCATATAAGACCAGAAACAGCCCTGGATACACATGACCAATAAAGTTTCCCATCGAACTACAGATGTGTCTGTCGAAGGAGAGAAGCACAAAACTCGGGCAGGACCACACTTCTGGAACCTCTCTTTAAGCTCTGGACTTTGGAAAGAGCTGCTTGCTTTTATTGTTTCACCCACCACTGCTCCCCCACAGAGAGGAAATGTTTCTTGAGACAAGCCTACACATTTGATGGAGTATGGCCTCATTGTTCCATCTCATTCTGGTACATTGGGAACTAACTGGCTTCTGCCAGAGAAGGAAGCTGGTGAATGGGCTTTCAAGAGCTCCTCTCCACAGCCCTTGAGGTGCTGCTGGCACACTTGTCTGGATCTCACACAGCTTCCTTCCTCTTGTCCTGCCCAGCACTCAGAGGAGAAGGGGAAAGGAAAATGGAATGAGAGTGAGTGTTGTCGTGGTATCCAGAGAAATCCTGGGCACTCATAAACTCTTGAGTATCTTTCAGTACTTCTCAGTCATAACTTTGGTCCAATTGTTAGAGTCAAATGTTTTCTTTCTGGACACATATTTGTAAACATTTGAATATGTGACCTCATAATCCATACTTAGCACCTATCTGGCTTTTCTATTCTGTGACACACACATCTTGAAGACCACCAAGAAATTCTTGCCTCACCGCCTATATTATTCCTTTTCTGTTGTGCATAACAAAATACCTGGAACTGGGTAATTTATAAAGAAAACAAAATTTATTGCTTATAGTCTAGGAGGCTGAGAAGTTCAAAGTCTAGAGAACACATCTGGTGAAGGCCTTGGTGGTGGTAACAGTGACGCAGATGTCTCATGTAGCAGAATAGTGGAGCAGAGAGAGAGGGAGAGAGCCTCTCACATGCTCACCTCTTAAAGCTCTTTGAAGCACACCCGTGACTATCATTACACCATCAAATGGATTAATCCATTCACTATGGTATGGTCTTCACAATCTAATCACCTCTTCAAGGCTCCACCTTTCAATTACCATAATAAGATTCCCACCCTCAGCAGTTACAGTGGGGGGCCATTCAATCCACTGCAACCC